CTTCATCTTCCAAAAGTTAATTCACTTGCTTAACGGTTAACAACATCAATTCATCTTAAATAAGGCACTAAATCTCCCTCCTGGCATAATGTTAGTCATAAGTGTGATGACCCTTAACCCCATGGTATTTGCACCACCTGTGGGGTTCAGGCCATATGGCCTTTAACTTTGGAGTTAGGAGATGAGGGATATCATGGGTGAGAAGAATTTCACATTAGATATGATCTCAATGAGTGTTTAAGGGTATGGAGTTGTTTATGAAACTCCAACTCTATTTGAAATTCACATTACCTCTAACAGGAAAAATATAGTGGCCCCGATGTTGTTGTTGCGACTGATCGAACCTACTGAAAGCACACTCCTTGACATCCCTAGCTTGAGCCATGGAAACCATGGGCTTCTAAGCAAGAGACTCATTGAAGAGTCTGATCTTAAAACCATTTTAAAACTATCTCACGTACATCTACCGGTTTAAATGTATTACCTTATAGTAGCCCCATTGAACCAGACGAGGTACTCCTTTAATGACTCGAAATGCCTCCGGCGGACATTGAAAATAAGTTGGTTGTTGGATCTTTTTGGTGTTTACTCGTCGAAAACTAATGGGCCAGTTTCCTCGAGAGGTCTTGATAATTGGTCACCGAAAATTGAGGAGGTTCATAAACCACTTAAGAGACGCCTCCTTGAAAGTATTGGACAAGAGCTTGCATTTCAAGGAGTCATAAGCCCCAATCATTGTCATATGGATATTGATGGCGGTAATGTGTTTTTAGGGGTTGCCTTTTCCGTCAAACTTTAATAGTGATTGAAGTTTGAAGTTTTCTGATACGGGAGAGCCCAAAATATCATCAGAGAGAGGTTGGGGATCTAGGACCTCATTGTCTTCGGTGAATTGTCATCATGATGTTGTTCCAAAAGGGCCATGACTTATATCGCAAGGTTTGTTAAAATGACACAACTCCTCCACATCAGCTCACATATCTAAGAAGGCCTCATTGTAGTCGTTGTCACCATTGCTAGTTATTGTAATGCCTCGTTGTGTAACTATGGTGAGAGAGATGATTGATGCGATTGAGTATTAAATAAAGGCGAATGAAGGCGTGACATAGGTCTGTTTTGTCGATGTTAGTTTTATTGATTCTCTTTATTTTTTCTAAATAATATATCTTTATTATATTATTTTAATTATCAATTTTTATTAGATAAAAATAATATAAAGCTTTAACAAAATGAAATTCATGTTTCTTTTTTCATATATTGATTTTCTTTATTTTTTGTTAACAATATTTTATATAGAAGTTGTTCGATTGAAAAAAACATAGATTTATAAAAGTTGTTAAATGATTGAAAATAAAATTGAGTCAAAATAAAAGTTAATTAAGTAATTTTTCATATTTATTTAATTTTTTTAAAAAATTATTTAGTAAAACAAACATTTCTCTCACTAACTAAATGAAAAACTTATAACTTTTCTTCTCGTATTTTGTTTTTGTTTTTTTCAAAAATTACAATGACGCCTTAAACACCCATTTTTAAGTAATTTTTTTTTTGTTTTTTTAAATATTAACAATTTATTTATATTAATACATAAATATAAATAAAATGAAGTGATTTAACTATAGACAAGTAGATTAGATCTATTTAATTCAGCTATCACATATCAATTGACCTACCTCACATATTACAACTTTTTAATCAATTCATTTTAAATGAATGTTATATAAAATAATTTAATAAAATAAAACCTTTTTTCTTCTTTTATAATAATGGCTTCCTATTTTATTAATAAACTTGTAACTTATTTTTAGTTATAATTTTTTATTATAAAATGTCATATAAATTTTTTAACAAAAAAAAACTAAGTTTCTTATTTATGATTTTAGACAATAATATATATATATATATATATATATATATATATATATATATATATATATATATATATATATATATATATATATATATATATATATATATATATATATATATATATATATATATATATATATATATATATATATATATATATATATATATATATATATATATATATATATATATATATATATATATATATATATATATATATATATATATATATATATATATATATATATATATTTTAAAAATCATAAAAATAATTTATAGTCAAAATTATGGTTAATTTAATAATTTCTTATATTTATTTAACTATTTCATAAAAATTTAAGTTTATTGAGCATTATATTTTATACCTAAATAATCTAAATGTTGAATGAAATTAAATTATCCTTTATCCTATATTTATAAGAAAATATTAGACTTTTATTATACCGTATTTGAATGATATATAGATTAAATTATATTTAATGTGAATTTTAAAATTTTTTTTAATTATAAATAGATTATAAAAAGTGTTCAATTAATTCAGTTCAAACTTTATAGTTGTGTAGAAAAATTGAAGTGTAGATTTGAATTCGTAACATCCATTTATCTATTATATATAGTGAATTAGAGTTCCAAATTCTTGTTTTTGTCATCTATGTCAAATATATTAATATGTAACACCTTGAAAACTCATCTTCACTTTTAATTTTTTATTTTATTTTTCTATTCAATATCTTAAATTCAACACCAAATTACTAAAAAAATCTATTAATTTAATCACTAATTACTAGTAACTTCAATATAACATAATTTTATAAATTTTTAAAAAATTATATATTTTTCTTGCAATCTTTAGTGTATTTCATCATTATTAATATATTTGTAAAAGATAATATTAATTATATCCATTTATTCAATATAAGTAATTTATTTAAATCAATATAATTTAAGTTTTGTTTAGAAAAAACAGTACAATTAACTGCTTACAAAAGTTTAGTTGATAGATGAACATATAAAGTAAGACAATAAGTAAAATATCAACATTAAAAATATTTACACTAAAATTTTACAATCAAATTACTCAGATTTTATATAACAAATCATTACTCTAAAAAATAAGATCTAAGATAAACTTCTATATTTTTTGAAAAACACATTTTTAATTTTGTTTTATTTTTCAAATTATTATGTTATATCATTAATTTTATTAGGATGACGCGAACAACTTTATTGAAGTAAATAATATTTTATCTTTTAATCTCTAGTAAATTTGTCTTCCATATATAAAATGATAAGATTTAACTTTTAAAAATATTGAAGTAAAAAAAAAAGAAATATAAAATAAAATTATTGAAAATTTTGCCTATGATGATTTGTTATATACAGTCTGACTCATTCGAATCTAGAATTTTTCTCATTAATAAAGTGATGAAGATTTAAATTTTTTAAAAATATTGAAAAAAAATGAAAAAAAATATAAAACAAAATTATTGAATTTTGACTATAATAAATGGTTACATAGAGTTTAAGAAGTTGAAATATAGACTTTCTCTCACCCATAAAATAATAAAAATTTAACATTTTTAAAAGGAAAAAGCTAAATGTTAGTAATAAGGATCAGACAAGGAAACCGAAGAATTAGAGATACTAAAAATAGAATTACTTTTATATCATAATAAATAGCTTTATAAACTACCCCTACTTAGTGTATGATATGCTTTATATCTTATTCGTTCAACTTTATTGTTAAAATATTCATACTACATAGCAAAGCTCTTTTTAAAAATATTGGAAAAAATAAAAGGAAAAATAAATCAAAATTATTGAATTTTTTTCCATTTTTTTTTCTCATTTTAAAATTTAAATTTAAGCATTTTATTTATCATTTCTATAATTCAAACATATTTTTTTATTTAAAAATTGTTATTTTTCTTTTATTCTTTTTGTCTTATCATCTCAATTATAATATTTATTATATTTAATAAAATTAAAAAAAATATATATAATTCAACATTATTTAAAAACTATAAATTAATATTTAAACTATAAATTAAAATACTATTTAAAATAGAGTTTAAAAAATAAATTATAAACTAGTTAAATAAACTATAAATTTATGATAAAAAAATTACTATGAAACAAATTTTTATTATCATATTAAAAAAATAGTTAGTATATGTAAACACTTTTTGATAAAAAATATTACACTTTTCATCTACTTATTTCTTTGTTGCCAAACAGAATCTAATTAAAAAAATAGTTAGTATATGTAAACACTTTTTAGATAAAAAATATTACAGTTTTGATCTACTTATTTTCTTTGATTCACGAAATTAATCATTCTGTTTTAAATTTAAATAGTTTTAGTCTCTTTCTCATATTTTTACACTTAAAATTAATAATATTTTCATTTTTTAAACAACAAATTAGTTATAAAATATGACAAACTATCATATATATATATATATATATATATATATATATATATATATATATATATATATATATATATATATATATATATATATATATATATATATATTTATTATTAAATTTTATAGATAAAAATATAAATATAAAAAATAAATTTTTTTATCGATTTTCTATAGAAAAATATGAAAAAAGAATTAAAACTGTTTGAAATTAAAATAAAAAATTAAAATTATTTAAATTTAAAATAAAATGACTAATTTTGTAAATCAGACAAAATATGAGAACCAAAATTATAATTTAACCTAAAAATAATGTATTGATAGAATTTAAATCCTAGTAATTTATATTTGATTTGATTTTAATTGTAGGCCATCTAGATTTTTCATCTCTTCATCATCGTCATTGTTCCAAACGATGGATAAGCTTTCCTTCCAGTGTCTTTTCTCCTCCCCTTTTCGTCTAAACCAAACACAGTCTTAACGAGAAACTGAGTTTATCGAGAATCGTTGATTAGACTCTGGGCAAATTTATCTCTTGCTTAGTTTCTAACAATCTGTATTCGCAAAATCATCAAAAATATATTTTTTTTTGGGGGTTGACGTTACATTGATTCGTATGAAACAGCTAGTAGCACCGATTCTGGAAGATAATAAATTTATTTCGGTGAACCGTAAAATTTGAAGATTTGAGTAACAATCTCAATGGGAACTGTTTCTGCTAGACACCCATTTGGAATCCATTTCCATTCCCATTCCCCAATTCGCCGATTCGATTCCTCAATCTTCCAATTTCCCTCTCACGTACAACTTTCCAGAATCACCTTGTATTCTTCTTCCCAGGTATCTCTATTTTCTATCTTATATTGCAAGCTGCTACATAATTGAATTACTCAATTGAATCTTAGCTTAGGTTAGGTTCAATTAGTTACTTTCTCATTCTGTAAGATTTCCATAATCAATTTAAATGGAAATCAAATCAGATAATTGATGTGGTGTTAGACACATAAGCTAACCAACTCCTCTCATAAAAGGCGTGTCAGTGCAAGTGTCTGAAACTGACATGTGTCCGAAATCGACTATGACACTTGGTATTACATTTAACTTATTCATTTTTTTAAATATTATCGGTGTCGATGTTATTTCATAGTTGATTTATGTCATAGACATTCGATAAGAGTTTTACGTTGTGCCTAACACAACCCTTTCTTTTTATTCAGGCTTGGGACCGATTATGCAAATTCAAAAAAGAATAAGCATTTCTAACCTAGAGGTGAAAGTTGAAAATCATATCATCTCCAAGTCACAGGGTTTAAATATTTCTAACCTAGAGGTGAAAGTTGAAAATCATATTAAATATTTCTAACCTAGAGGTGAAAGTTGAAAATCATATCATTCCCAAGTCACAGGGTTTAAATATTTCTAACCTAGAGGTGAAAGTTGAAAATCATATCATCTCCAAGTCACAAGTCACAGGGCTTAAATATTTCTAACCTAGAGGTGAAAGTTGAAAATCATATTAAATATTTCTAACCTAGAGGTGAAAGTTGAAAATCATATCATCCCCAAGTCACAGGGTTTAAATATTTCTAACCTAGAGGTGAAAGTTGAAAATCATATCATCCCCAAGTCACAGGGTTTAAATATTTCTAACCTAGAGGTGAAAGTTGAAAATCATATCATCCCCAAGTCACAGGGTTTAAATATTTCTAACCTAGAGGTGAAAGTTGAAAATCATATCATCCCCAAATCACAGGGTTTAAATATTTCTAACCTAGAGGTGAAAGTTGAAAATCATATCATCCCCCAAGTAACATGTTTTAAATATTTTATGTCCTTAATACAAGATGATGGAGAAATAGAAGGGGATGTAAGTCATCGAATTCAAACAGGGTGTTGAAATGAAGGAGGACATCAAGGGTTCTATGTAACGCAAAGGTACCACTCAAGTTGAATGGAAAATTTTATCAAACTGCGGTAAAACCTGCAATGTTGTATATGATAGAATATTGAGCGGTTAAGAATCAACATGAGAATAAAGTGTAGCAGAGATGAGGATGTTGCATTAGATGTTTGGTAAGGCTAAACATGATAAGATTAGAAGTGAAAATATTATAGAGAGTGTTTGGATAACACCTATAGTAAAGAAGATGATGAAAAATAGACTTAAGTGGTTTGAGCATGTAGAGAGAAGACATGTAGATCATGTGGTAAGGAGAGTAGGTAAGATGAAAAGAAGTCAAAATTAGAGGGAGAGGAAGATCTAGAAAGTCCATAAGATAAGTTATTAAAAAAGATCTCGAGGTTAATGATTTGGATAGAAGTATGGTCCTGAATAGAACATTCTGGCTCAAGTTGATTCATGTAGCAGACCCTACTTAGTGAAAAAAAAGCTTAGTTGTTGTTGTATTATTGGTGTCGACATGTGAGTGTCATGTTATGTTTCTGGTGCCCGTGCTTCATAGCACATAAGTGAAAAAAGGTGTGTCAGTGCAGGTGTTGAAACCGACACCAACACTTGTGCTATGTTGTGAATAGTGGCCGGCGCGGCCGCGATATCTGCGCGAGGCGGAAAATATGGCATGGCCACTTCCAGTTGTACTGGTTCGGCGCGATCGGGTTAAGCGGCTGGAGCGACCGCGATATTGGTTCCTGGAGCAGGTCGGGTGCGGTCCAAAGCGGACGATTTTCTGTTTTCGCGGGCCGGATCCACACACTTAATTTTAAAACGTTAAAACCCTATTTCTTACCGTTAGAAAGCAATTTCAATCGCGGCTCTGGTTTTTATTTTCATATACGACTCTTCTCTCCTATTCCATTGCACATCATCATATCTCCATCGCTTCCTCTTGCTCTTCCTCCATCGCCCGGTCTTCATCATCTCTCTCTCTCTCTGCTTCAGTCAGCCTTGGAAGTATGTTGCAACATTTTGCTTAAGACTTATACCTTTTAATGGTATTTGGAATTGGAAGTATGCCATTATGTATTTGGAAGTATTTCATTGCTTAAGACTTATGAAGTTTGATTTTTTTTTGTTGGTATTTGCTAGTGTGTTTTCGGCATGTAAGTGCCTATTTTTTAGTGTATGCGTCGCTAAAATAGTGCCCGCGCCGCTCCCATTTTGGGGTTGACCACGCCGCGCCGCTCCCATTTTGGGGTTGACCACGCCGCGCCGCTTTTCGAGATTAACAACATAACACTTGTGATTATGTTTAAGTTATTCATTTTTTCAAAATAGTACCGGTGCCGATGTGTCAGAATTTAACATATTCATTTTACTTCTATCTCTTGTTTAGTAACTAAAATTTGAAAGGCTTTCTACAAGTTAGTAATGTAGATCGAAATTGAGTGGTAGCTAAGGTGTCTAATTATTTTCGACTTTGACGTTGGTGTAGAACTTATGGTACATTTTGGAATGTTGATAAGACACTAAGGGGGTGTATGGGATTTTTTTTTTCCGCATAAAGAGGCTTTCATAATTTTACAACTCTTCAAAAGGACTTTTATAATCAGGATTTTGTAGTCTGGATTTATATCATAAGAATTTGTAGGATTTGAAATGACTATGGATTCGTAATGGATCGTAATTTTACTATGTTATGGTGTTTACCATCCAAGTTGAATGTTATATGTACAACAGAAGCTGATATGCAGTTCATTACTGGACGGGTGATGAGTTGGTAGTATCTAATAGATCATGGTCATGGATGCAGGGATTAGTTCACCGAGTATGTGCACGGCCTGATATTGATGATTTCTACTGGGAGAAAGATCCAACGCCCATTCTTGACACAATTGACAGCCCTCTTTGCTTGAAGAACTTATCCCTTCGGGTCAGTTCTAAGCAGCTCATTAGATTTTTTTCTTTTTTAAAATCTTTTTCCCCCCTGTTTGCTCTCACCTTACTTGAACTTGTAATCCTGAAGTATCTGATTATCTATATAATTGTTTTTGCAGGAGTTGAAACAACTCGCTGCTGAAATCCGTTTAGATTTGTATTCTGTTTTGTCAGGTACACAAATATCCCCAAACCCAAGTATGGCTGCAACGGAGCTGACAGTTGCAATGCATCATGTTTTCCATGCTCCAGTAGACAAGATATTGTGGGATGTCGGTGATCAAGTAAGATTTTACTTATAAGCAAAAATGCCAGTGCTCTCTTTTCATTTCAAGTTTTATTGTTTGAATAGTGGAAAGTTGATTGCAATTACATTTTGCAATAAATATATATTGAATTCCCTTTTCAGGGAGTTCGTTTTCTAAGACTTCAGTGAGAAACCTGTTACAGGTAATGTAACCTATTTGTATTTGTCTGCAGACATATGCACATAAGATGCTTACTGGAAGGAGATTTCTCTTGAGGACAATCAGACAAAAGAATGGACTTTCTGGTTTTACTTCTCGATTTGAGAGTGAATATGATTCATTTGGTGCAGGTCATGGATGCAACAGTATATCTGCTGGACTTGGTAATTTATATTTTTCTTCTGTGTTTCATAATAGGAGCAATATATTTATTTCTCGAGCATTACTGCTGGACTGGTAATTTAATCTTTAATTGTCATTTACTCTGACTCTTCTGAGTATAAGTATGTGGGTTGATAATTAATATTATATATTTTATCAATGAATATGGCCAATTTACGTTTTCTTTTTTAAATGTACTGAAAAAATTCCTATAGGTGAAATCTCAAATGTCCTTAAATTAATATGTAGTATATTAAATTACAGGCATGGCGGTTGCACGGGATATTAAAGGGAGACGAGAACGTATAGTTGCAGTTATCAGCAATTGGACAACTATGTCTGGTCAGGTGTATGAGGCAATGGGAAATGCGGGATATTTGGATTCAAATATGGTGGTAATTTTGAACGATAGCCGCCACTCTTTACTCCCCAAAATTTACGAGGGCTCCAAAACCTCTGTCAATGCCCTATCTAGTACCCTTAGCAGGCTCCAATCCAGTAAATCTTTCCGAAGGTTTAGAGAAGCTGCTAAGGTATGCATCCTTTTCATCTCCTTTGCTGAGAAAATCCAAGATAGCTGTAAATTAAAATGACTACTCAGCTCTGTCTTTGTGTAGTTTAGGAAATATAAATGATTTAATAAACTATCACTTTCTCTTCAATTTAATCTAAACCATATAAATATGATAAGTAGAAAAGTACATGAAAGTCTGTCAATTTAGTCCTAAAGTACATGAAAATGTCAATGTTATCCTTAACATCTTAATAGTAGCAGATACTAAATTGACGAGTTTTATATACTTTGGAGACAATTTATTATATTTACATAGTTTAGGACAAAATTGGAGAGAGATTGATAGTTTAAGGACTAAATTGATAGTTTTTTTCATAAATGAATGTGCAAAACTCCCTCTCCCACCAATTCCAAAAACAAAAATGCTTTATTGTATTTCTCAATGGTTGTATTCATCTTTGCTCTAGTGTTTCAATATTTTACTCATTCAAAATAAGCAATCTGTCTAAAAAGTAATTATGATAATCCCTCTTTAGCCTCTAGTCTCTAAATCTTAATGCTTCCGCCATTCATGTTCAAGTTATATTTATGTGTGTGGCAATTTTTCTGCTTTATCACAGGGTGTTACAAAACGTATTGGCAGGGGCATGCATGAATTGGCAGCTAAAGTTGATGAATATGCTCGTGGTATGATGGGTCCACTAGGTTCTACTCTATTTGAAGAGCTTGGGTTGTATTACATAGGGCCAGTGGATGGACACAATATTGAAGATCTCATATCTGTTCTTCAAGAAGTAGCTTCACTGGATTCGATGGGTCCTGTCTTGGTTCATGTTATAACCGATGAAAATCAGGTTGAAGAACACAATAAGAAAAGTTGTACAACAGACAAACAGCAGGATGGTATTGCTTTTGCTATTCTGTCAATATTAAAAATATATTAATAATAAGAATTTATTTATCATTTTATACAAAAAAATTCTCTCAATAAACGTGACAGATTTTTTTCCCATCTTCTCCTCTCCTTCCAAAGCCTTCTCCAAGGCTTTGTTTGGGAGTTTGGAGAGGAAAGGAGGGAAGGATTTTGAAAAAAAGGGAAGGATGAAGTAAAAAGAATTGAGGGATTTAGGTAGAGAGGGTTTTTGGAAGTTTCATTTTATTCATAATACAATTCTAATTTAGGGAACAAAAATTGTATTGGATGAGGGGTTTGGAGGGCTTAGATAAATTCTTTAATTATAATCTATGTTGTTATATATTCTGAAAATTAACATATTTATGATAAACATCCATTTATCATTCTATGCAAAATCATTCTTCCAAAAAATGCTAAATATTTCTCTATATTTTCATCAAATTTCCTTTTTTCAAAGCTCTTCCTTCCCTTCCACTCCTAAGTCGCAAACAGATTCTAAGGCTTTGTATAGAATGATAAAAGAGTGTTTTTCATTATTCATTACTATATTTTTAATTTTCAGAATACGATGACAACATAAAAGATATTTGGAAAATTCATGTAAGCCTTCCAAAACCCTCATCTAATACGAATTTTGAGTTTTCTCAAATTAGGGGTTTTTGGTATTGTGAATAAAAACAAATCCTCTAAAATCCTTCAATTCTTTCCACTCAATCCTTCTCTTTTTTCAAAGCCCTCCCTTCCCTTCCCCTCCAATCTCTCAATTATTTTTTAAAAGTTTTCTCCTAATTATTTCTTAAGTTTTTCTTTATCCATTTAAATATTATTTCCAAGTTTCTTTTACCTTTTCCTGATATGAGGTGAAACTAACACTGCATTTATTTGGCTTCCGGTGGATAATTAATATTTCTATAGGTGTAGTATTATGCTTTTGAATACAAGGAATTTATAGCTTGGGTTCTTTATGGCTTGGCTTCCTCATTATTTTGAAAATTTGAATCATATGTGATTTGTCCATTCACTTTCTAATTAATAGTGTATGTTAACTTTTCAGAATATGTTAGTTCTGATTTGTTTTACAAAGCTGGTCAGCCTCAAACATATGGTGATTGCTTTGTGGAGTCTTTGGTTGCAGAAGCTGAGAAAGACAAAGATATTGTGGTTGTTCATGCAGGAATCACATCGGAGCCATCACTTGAACTGTTTCGTGAAAAATTTCCAGATAGGATTTTCAATATGGGAGTTGCCGAGCAACATGCAGTCACGTTTGCTTCTGGTTTGTCATGTGGTGGATTGAAGCCGTTTTGCATTGTACCTTCTTCCTTTTTACAGAGAGCCTATGATCAGGTCCAACCTTATTCCAGCATAATCTATCTTGATAACCACTATATGTTGTTAACAGCCTAATCTATCTTTATGCAGGTCACTGCATAAAGATACTAAAGCTTTTGTTTTAGGCCCCCACTTCATATGAATAAAATTGTTCATTTTATTAAGTTTTTTCCCCGAAAATTGGGCTCTCATCTCCTTAATGAAGTCCCCTAATTTATTTTAGTAAGGTTTAAAAGGATATATTTTTAAGTTTGTTTAATATTGGGCTGACCTTGTTTATAGTAAAAATGAAGGAAAGTGGTAACAGTCCTACATATCTTTATTCATGCCTAAACGGCCAAATTGTGAAGGTTGAAGGGGATTGTACTTTATGAATCTTAAGAGAGTCTGGACTTTAGGATATCCAACTCTTTCATGAGAAAGTTATTAGTTATCTGACACTTTCTACTTGTATGCAAAATAGATAGTTTGTGCACATTAACCTAATTGTTTAAGTAGTTAAGAATTTGAACATGCTATGTGTCATGCTAGGTTGTTCATGATGTTGATCAACAGAAAATTCCAGTGCGTTTTGTCATTACAAGTGCAGGATTGGTAGGTTCGGATGGTCCTGTCCAGTGTGGAGCATTTGATATAACATTCATGTCGTGCTTACCAAACATGATTGTCATGGCACCATCTGACGAGGTTGAACTTGTGAACATGGTGGCTACTGCTACTCGCATCAATGACCGGCCAGTTTGCTTTCGGTATCCTAGGGGTGCCTTGGTTAATAAAGGCCACACTATAGATGATGGAGTCCCAATTGAGGTAATTGGGCAACATTGTTTTCTTGATAGTTTTGAGTTATGCTAACACCTATTTTACTTTGAAAAGGAAAAACCAGTTTCTAACTTAGCAAAGTGTGTTTCATTTTTACGTTTAATTATGAAGTTGTTGTAATTTATTCATACACAGATTGGAAAGGGAAGAGTTATTGTTGAAGGTAAAGATGTTGTCTTACTGGGATATGGATCAATGGTTCATAACTGTCTAAATGCTCATTCTCTTCTTGCAAATCTTGGCGTTGAGGTGACTGTTGCAGATGCAAGGTTCTGCAAGCCCCTAGACATCAAGCTTCTGAGGCAACTTTGTAAACACCATTCTTTTCTAGTTACTGTTGAAGAAGGATCTATTGGAGGATTTGGTTCCCATGTTGCTCAATTTATTGCTCTGGATGGACTTCTTGACCGGAGAATTAAGGTAATTATTAGTTTAAAGGGGCTTATAAATGTGCTATTGGTAATTATTGAAATAACCTCTCTGCCAAGGCATGACTCAATTTTGTTTTTCTTGTGAGTGAGTTTCTGATATTCTAATTCATTTTTCGGGATTAACTCTTCCAGTGGCGCCCTATTGTCTTACCAGACAGTTACATTGAACATGCATCCCCAAATCAACAGCTTGACAAAGCGGGGTTGACTGGACATCACATTGCTGCCACAGCGTTGAGTTTACTGGGCCGTACCCGTGAAGCTCTATCGTTTATGTGCTTTTAAATCGGGCAAAGGTGCTATGTCTTTTCTCAGATACGATGAATGGGAGTTTGGTGGCTGTATATGAGTATTTGCTGATGTTTACATGCTTGCTGATGCCATTTTGGTTGTATAGAAATGAGTGTAAAATACAACGGGGGATGTTAATATAATAAATTGGGACAGTTTAACAAATGGAGATTTATGTTATTGTTGCCAATTACCAATATCTGGTTCTACATCCAAACCACAGATATAATCAGATCCGGTTTTTTAAAAGTTGGATATTGACAAAGGTTTTGGATCTGGTTTTGTGAAATGGATGCCCATGGTTAAAATTCTCTTTTTTCCTATGATGCATAGGTACGGATGCAGTACCCGGTGCAGATATTGATAGTGGTACGGGATACGACGTTTTAAAAAAAATCAAAGTACGAGTATGTTAATAAAAAATTAGAGTTTTCTGTAAAATATACGAGTATATAACTAAATTGTCAGGTTCATAATAATATATCATTATAAAAGTTTTAAAAGATAAAAAATAATGTTAAATAATGTTAAGATACAATAACAGAGAAATTAAAACACTTGATATTTAAGAAAATTACAAATTTCATTCAAAATTTAATATCGAGAGAAATAGAAGTACTACGAGTATCCGGTACGGGTGTGTACCTATCGCCATTTTAAAAGTATTCATGTTTTAGAGTTTTTTTTATTGCCAACGTCCCGTGTTGTTCAATGTATATGCATTGCAGAAGCTTTGTTTTTCTTAGTTTTTCAGATCTTAAGTCATTGGAGACTATTCTCCATCGAGGGAACTGTTGCCGGCATATAAGCTTAATACCGTGATCTTGAACCCGTTTCTATTGAGTAAGTTCAATGCTTGGTACAAAAAATCAATTTGATGGAAATTATGGAGCAAGAGCTTGAATGTAGCAATGATTTTCTTAAAAACTACACCATCCTGTCACATTTATAAACAATAAAAATAGTTTTCACGATTATTAACAAATCCAATCAAATGTAATTAATTTTTTAGATTTTGATAAAAACATTAATTAAATTTAGGCTATTGTTGATATCTTGCCAAAATAATATCATGAAGATACTGTCATAACAACACATTATATGAAGACAACACATTATACCATTAGTTGTACATATCTTCAATTTTCCATTCATAGCATTAGTTTATATGTAAATGATTTAATATTAGGCAATTATATTTGGAATGATTAGATATTGTATTTAACCCTATACTTGTATATATATATTAGATCAAGGATCAATGAAAAGTATGATATTCCATCACAAACTTGTTATGGTATCAAAGCGAACAATACATAACAAAAACAAAGCCAATGTTATGGTATCAAAGCGAACAATACATAACAAAAACAAAGCCAATGTTTGAATTATGTCCGATAGCAAAAGCGAAAAGTCTCTAGTTTCAACAAACAAGACAATCATCAATGGTGATGGAGTTGTCATCAGAAAAACTTATGATATCACTTCCAATGGCAATCTTGGAAGTTTGATAACTCATATGAAATTAAAGGGAGAAAACTATGATGAATGGGCTCTTTCACTCAGAACAACTCTTCGAGCACGAAAGAAATTTGGTTTGGTCGATGGAACAATTGGCAAACTCGATGAGGGATCTTCAAATCTTGAAGATTGGTGGACAAACAACTCACTATTGGTTTCTTGGATCATGAATACCATTGAACCTTCGCTGCGATCAACTATGTCGCACATGGAGGTAGCAATAAATCTTTGGAACGACATCAAGGAGCGGTTTTCCATTGTGAATGGACCGCGTATTTAACAACTCAAGGTTGAACTTGTTGAATGCAAGCAGAAAGGTTTGACCATTATGACATACTATAGAAAAATGACAAATTATGGGAATAATTAGTGAACTATGATTAGATTCTGACATGCAAGTGCAGACTGTGTACGTGCAATATCAATAATAAAATTGCAAGGAAACACGAGAAGGAGAAAGTTCACCAGTTTTTCATGGGATTGGACGATACTCTCCATGGGACAATCCGGTGTAAACTTCTTGCGCAAGATCCTCTGCCTACATTAAACAAAGTGTATGCAACGCTAGTCCAAGAGGAACGACCGCACGATAACTCGTGTGACAGAAGAAAGTGGTGAAGCAATGGAATTTGCAGTACACTCAAACTTCAATCACAAAGAGAAAGGAGGATTCTGCAGTCACTACAATTAAGTTGGGCATGATTCGAACAATTGTTTTCAGCTTATAGGATATCCGAAATGGTGGAGAGATCAACCACGTGGACCAATGAAGGGGTCAGGACCCAGGAAACCAGAACGACCCAATAATAGAAATCGTGAAGGTGTCGCTAAGGCTCACATAGCACAAGCAAACGGGTCAACAAAAGAGATCACTACTGAAGTTTCAGGGGCTGATTTTGATCTTACTAGGGATTAATTGCAAACACTAGCTAGCCTTTTAAACAATGTCAAGCTAGGTTCAATTGAGAAGCTCAATGGTAAGTGTTCCTTCTTGCCTTGGATTATTGATACAGGTGTTTCACATCATATGACTGGTCAATTGGAGTGTCTAACCAATATATACACAAGATTTTTGAGTGCTATATTAGACTCCCAGATGGTGAAGAGACAGTGGCCACCAAAGAAGAAAATGTGGTGCTCAATGAAAGGCTGCAACTGAAAAATGTCCTATATGTGCCTAGTTTTCAATGCAATCTTATTTCAGTGTCACAACTACTAAAAAAATTCTAATTATAGTGTCCAATTTACTAACAAGTTATGTCTTATACATGACCCCGCTTTAAGGACGCCGATTGGAGCGGGTGAACAAAGAGAGGGGCTATACTATCTTAAAGGGATTGACAAGGTGGCTGCAATGAAGACTAATAAACAAGTTTCTTTTGATTTGATGAATAAAAGACTAGGACATGCATCTTTGAAGGTTCTGCAAATGCTTCCAAATGTTAGTCTTAATAGCAAAAATATTTTATGTACTCAGACTTATGACATATGCCTTAGAGCAAAACAGTCACGAGCCAATTTTCCTGTTAGTCTAAATAAAGCAGTCACTCCTTTTTATTTAATTCATTGTGATTTATGGGGGCTTTATCGAAATGATAATTTTTGCGGTGCTAGATATTTTTTAACTATTGTTGACGATTTCTCGAGAGCAATGTGGATTTATCTTCTCGTTGATAAAACCGAAGTCTCTAGATATCTTTATCAATTTTTAGCAATGGTTAAACGACAATTTAATACACAAGTAAAGATAATTCAAAGCGATAATGGAACTGAATTCACTTGTATGAAATCAATTTTTTCTGATCGTAGTATTATTCATGAAACTTCATGTGTTGGGACACCACAACAAAATGGAAGAGTAGAGCAGAAGCATAGACACATTCTTAATGTTTCCCAGGCTTTGCGTTTTCAAGCCCAATTTCCAATTGAATTTTGGGGGAATGTGCTCTTGTTTCATGTTACTTGATTAATCAAACTCCTACACGAAATTTAGATGGTAAAACTCCATTTGAGCTCTTGTATGGTAAGCCCCATTCTCTTGAGCACCTATGTGTCATTGGCTGCCTAGCTTATGAGCATAATCAACATCATAAGGGTGACACATTTGCTAGTCGAGGTTGCAAGTGTGTATTTGTTGGTTATCCTTATGGCACCAAGGGATGTTGTATGTATGGCTTGGAGCTAGGTGTTTTATTTAACTTAAGAGATGTTATTTTCTATGAAGATAAGTTTATATATGCTACAGAAATGATACCCCACCAGCTTGCATCTAAAGATGACCACACCTTTCCTGATGCCTCTTCCAATAATAATATTGTTGAAGATGATTCCTTTCGGCATGTTGTTACTATACCTGATATCCCTTCAGCTCTAGCAGTTGAAACTACAAAGTTACATGATCATGATAAATCAGATGGCATGCTACCAGCTGTTTCGATTGTATCTCATAATGAATTATCTTCACTCGAGTCTCATGACACACCACCAGCTGTTGAAATCAGTGAGGAACCACCTACTACTGATACAATCAAAAAATTTAGGACGTGGCCATCGTGTCAAGATTCCTTTTACCAAGCTGTAAGACTTTGTGACCAATACCATCTCTAAGATACAACCCTCAAATTGTTCCATTGCTCCGTCATTTCCTTCAGCTACACCTTATCCCTTATCCGAATATATGAATTATGCTAACTTTTCATCACATCACATACATTTTTTTAGCCGATGTTTCTGCAGCCATAGAAATGCAAAGCTTTGTTGAAGCTGTCAAAGATATTCGATGGAGAAATGCCATACAGCTGGAAATTGAGGATCTTGAAAATAATGGGACTTGGACAACAAAAACACTTCCTCCAAACAATAGGCTACCAACATCAAATGGTTGTATCGAATTAAATATCACTCAGATGGAACTATTGAATGTTATAAGGAAAGGCTTGTTATTAAAGGGGAACAATATGTTAGAACAAGATTTAGTTCTGCAATATTATCTCTGAGTTTTGATGATAACAAATGAGTATGTTTGTACGAACAATTTTGATACTCTAATGTTTGTTATTTTTGAATATTTAACAAACAGGTCCTGCTTCTGATGAATGGTGTGGCCAAGACATTAGAAGAGAATTAGTTCCACTTTGGCGCTACACAAGTTTTGATGAACAATAACAAGACACTCTAGAAGACTTTGAAGTGTAGATTTTGATGTTTGTCTAAAGAAACAAGTCAGAAGATCTGAAGACAAAAGTTTCTACTTATGTCCAAATGCTGAAGACTCGTGCTTCTAAAGACAATGTGTTCTAAAGAAACAAGTTAGAATATATGAAGACAAAAGTTTCGACTTAAGTCTAGATGATGAAGACCTATGTTTCTGAAGACAACGGGTTCTAAAGAAACAATCAGAAGATCTGAAGACAAAAGTTTTTACTTAAGTCTGAATGCTAAAGACTCAAGTTTCTAAAGACCAACAGTTCTAA